CTCAATACGCGTGGTGTTGATCCGTCTCGTCCGTTCACCGTGGTCAAGTATATTCTTAAGGTAGCATAAATTTTTCCCTTATTTGTCAGCTGTGCAGTTCTTTCACGGTTGTGGGCATAAAAGGAAAAACGATGATACCAAAAAACAAAAAAAAAAAAAATAAACAAAACACAAAAAAACAATAACAAAAAACAATAGCCTTGGCAGTTTGTACAGGTGTCCTATATTAGTGGTTTTTTGTGAATACTTCTGCACGCTGAGAATAACTGGGACGTGTCAGTAATATTAAAAGGGTAAAGAGAAAGTGACGAAGTAGAAAATGAAGAAGGGAAGAAATACGACGAAAGAATGAAGTGGAAAAGGGATTTGGGAGTATAGAAATAATTGTAAAGGGCAAGAAATGTTTCAGTCCATCAAGTCGTATACATTTCTTACCGTTACCACAATTGGACCTCGTCAGTACGACTACTGTGATAACAAAGATAATTTAGATGAAGGTTTAGTTTGTGTTTATTGTATTACTAACATAGGATACCCACTTTCCGAAACAATCTTATTAATTAGCACCTTTATTAATCATAACAAGATTTATACACTGAGATTTTGGTAGGATATGAGAAAATTGCTTCTAATTAAATAAATAATATTGCATGATTTTGAAAAAAAGCACTTCATTGGTACCCGTTCTGGGGTAAATTTTCGTAAAAACAAATACCTTTTAAAGCCTGAAGAACGCTTTTCCTTTTTTTTTTACGTTGTGAGAAGTGTTAGTACGCGGATGAAAAGTTTTTAGGTGATGACGATAGTGGAAAGGCATGGTTTCCCTGACCTGTTAGTTCGGCTGTCACGAATAGCTTTGCGAGAAGCAGAACGAGATAGAACGGGAGTCGAACGTTTTTTGGTAACTTTTATACTAACTTGTTTTTATTACGTTGTTTTTACAGTATATTATGCTGCATTGCTGCAGATTGATTAAGATTTATAGTATTGTTGGTTATGTACATGTGGTAGTAATAGCTTCGTCCATCTGTTATCTGTCATTCGTGCCACATGACCAGCCCACCTCTTCTTGCTGGCACACATTGCTTCGATAATGTCCTTCACACCGCATCTGGCTCGGAGCACTTCGTTTGGAGGGTAATGCAAGGAAAGGTTTTGTATTGAAGCATAACTGGGTGAAAACCCCTGCAGCTTCAAACATGTCAAAAAAGTACTGTGCCGCATTTAATCGAACTAAGTTTGAATGGTTCGAACCAATGTCAGACTGACTAATGGTCAGGTATTTTTGGTAACACTGCGAAAACAGACCAGCCTAAAATTCTATTACCCTAATTTATAGCTTTTGTATTATTTTTTAGCCAAAATTACACGTGAATTTATTCAAATCGGAACTTCGCACTGAGCAGTACGAAGAAGCAATGAAAAGTATCCTGAACAATCCATACAAAGATAATGCTCGAACATGCTTAAGAGAGATGATGGCAAAACTGGTGGAGCAAAAGCTAACAAATACTATTGTTGAAATGTTTTACTTCACCATGGAAAGAGAGGTTGGCTTATTTCATGATTTTTTTTTTCTAATTCCGTTGTAAAAACTGTGCTATTGTTGGGCTGGACCCTTCAAAGTCTCGTCCACTGGCCCGGCGCTCCGGCGCCTCCTCGGATCGTTGGCAGGGTCGTCGATTCCTTGGTAATGTTTCGGGGCTAGGAGGGTCCGTGGTCGTCGGGGTCACTAGCACAATTCACCACTTTTTAACACAGAAACAGCAGCCTTATATAGGCAGCTTCGCGCCATTATACATGCCACCTACCTAGGAGGGAATCATGATGCAACAGTTACACTGTTCCTTAATCGTTTTTCAACGCTTTAAGGCGGTTGAAATCTTGCGCGAGTATGCGAGAGCATCAAATGTTAAGAAGGATGGCTTTTTCTACGAATTGCTTTATGCATTTCACATGCATCGATCAAGTTTTCAACGAGGTTTGAACATTCTCCGTTCAGTCTGCTGGTTTTTCTTTGTGCACTTTTTGATTATGTCAAGTTGATTGGATCGGCGAATGCAAGAATTTGAGCATTTGAAACGAAATCTGTGCAAAAAACGTGAAAACTTTGTGAAATCGTTTCGGCAACTTGTAAATTTGCTTCGGTTTGGCCCAGAAATTTG